ATCTATCTTACCTACCTTCTCTGTTTGTTGTTATTCATAAAGTGTTCTCCCTGCAGGAGCTGATCCTTCCTTCTCCCCAATTCACTTGTATGTGGAAATTCCTCAAGTAATGAAATAGCATGTGTGAGTGTTCTCTCACCTGGTTCTCTTTATAGTGCACCTGCAGAGAGAATGCATTTCTGCTGTCTCCAGCATTGTCTATGCTCAGTGAGGAATTTGTAGAAACAGATAACTGCCTTCCATCGAGGAAACCTTTTAAATCAGACATCCTTTGTTTTAGCCACAGCTTTGACATTTGCATAGGTTGGCACTTGCTGATCATTAAAATGCATTGCTTCATGATATTGGCAGTAAAGCATAGTGCTAGGGTAGACAAAAACATGGACGTTGGAGTCAGACAATTCAGGTTTGAATCTTGGCTCTGCTATTTACTGGGCCATTTCCTTAACTTCTTGGAGCTGATTTCTTTTGTATTGGGTTGGCCATAAGTCCATTTAGTTTTTTTCTGTAAAATAAAAGACACATTGTTCATTTTCGCCAATAACTTTATTAATTTGGATATTTTGAGTATGTTGGCCATCCCCCTTGGTATTGGTTTCTAGTGGGTAGAGGCCAGGGGTGCTGCTAAACACCTTCCAGTGCATAGGACAGCCGCACAGCAAAGAATTATTTGGCCAAAAGGTCAATAGTACCTAGAAACTTTGCAAACCACTTTTGACACATTTAATCAGTCACAGCACCTTCTCCACACACTGCACAAATCTTTTTTTTTGCACTTCAGTTGTATTTTTACCTTTCTTGAAATAATAAAGCATGATATGCCAAAAATCTTGCTTATTTTCTTCTATCTTCAATATTAACATGGCTACAAAAATATTCAACAATTTTGATAATTTTTATATGCATCCCTATGTTCATGGCAGCATTATTTACAATAGCCAAGTGCTGGAAACAGCCTAAGTGCCCAATAGTAAATGAATAGATCAGAAAACTATGGTACACTTACACATGGAATACTACACAGCAGGAGGAAAGAAGGAGCTCCTACTGTTTGCAACAGCATGGATGGAACTGGAGAATGTTATAAGTGAAATAAGCCAGGTGGTGAAAGACAAATATCATATGATCTCACTTATAAAAGGAACCGAGCGAACAAAATGAACAAATGAGCAAAATAAAACTAGAAACATGGACACAAGAAACAGAATGATGGTGACCAGAGGGGAGGGGAAGAGGGGATAAGGGTGGAAAGGAGGTGAAGGGACTAGTTAAGGAACATGTAGGAACATGTAGGAACATGTAGGAACATGGATGTGGACAACAGTGTGGGGATTAACTGTGGGAGCTGGGGGTGGGCTGGAAGGAGAGGACAGTAAAGGGGGAAAATTAGGACAATTGTAATAGAACAACAATAAAATATTAAATAAAGAGAAATGCACACTAATATGATAGCTGTCACAATACAGTCTAACAAAATTGTTTTGAATGAGGTTTAAGACAGAAAAAAACTAAACAAAATTTTTGGCCCTCCCTACAGTGGGGATAATACTCATATAGAAACTAATTCATAGGACTAATGTGAAGATTAAGGATAAATAATATATACTTTTTTTTATAATGAAATGAGATAGCAGAAAAGTTCAATCCTCTCCAGACACTCCAGACCAAGTTTTTGTGGCACATCTTCCAGCTTCACTCTCCTCCCTGTCCCTCCCTAGGAAATTTTCTGTCCTGGGAGGCTGACCAGTGAGGTGTGCAGTAGCAGCTTCCTTTGCTTGGGCTCTGTTGCATTGGGCAAGAGGAGCCCCACCAGGAGATCAGAAGGAGACAGAGAAGAAGATCATGTTCACCTCCTCTCCTCTGTCCTTTCTGGGTCACCTGAGGCTAACCATGTCCCAGAAAATAACATACATTTTTCAAGGCAGTCCCCTCTATGACTATGTCCTTTTAGGTATTGGTGACCCATCCTTCTTCTTGTCCCTTTAGTTTGGAGGTGGTAAGAACTGCATTACTGCCAGTCCAAGAACTGCACCATCCTTTGGAGACCCCTCTACTCTACTCACATCTTCTTCAGTCGTCCCTTTACTAAACTATCCCTTAATGATCCTAATATGAGCACACTGTCTGTTTGCTACTGGGATGCTAAGTGACACATTGTTCATGGTTCTGTAGTTGAAAGTACATTTGCCTAAGTTTGTTGTATTTGAGAGAGTTTGGCACTTTTAGGGGAAATAAGAATAGGTGATTGTTGTTGCTTGCCATTTGATGTAAGTGAAGAAAAGGTAATAATGAAGGATGATGGTGATGAGAGCCAAGCATTCTCTTAGAAACTACTTTTTATACACATTAAAACTCATATCATTTATTTACTTTTGGGGTTTTTTTAGCTCTTTATTTTGAAATGCTTATAAACTCACAGAAAGTTGTAAAATTAGTAAGTACATAGAGTCCTTTGTATCCTTAACCTAGTTTTCCCCAACAGTGACATCTTATACAACTCTAGTACAATATTAAAACCAGAAAATTTGCATTGGTAAGATATTATAAATTAGACTAACTTAACTACAACATTTATTCCATTTTCACCATTTTTACATGCACCTGCATATATGTGTATGTGTGTTTGTTTCTATGCAATTGTGTCCCATGAATAGATTCGTGAAACCACCACCACAAGCAAGACACAAATATGTCCCATCACCACAAAGGAACTTCATGCTACCATTGATATCTGCACTGCCCACTTCATCCCCACCCTGTTCCTGTCCCACAGCAACCACTGATCTGTTCTCCATCTCCATAGTTTTATTGTTTCATGAGGCTAAATTCAAAACACACATGGGTGTTACCTCCCTTTGTAGATCTGGAAAAATCTGAGAGAGGTTCGGTAATGTGCCTAAAGCTGCACGGAATGCAGTTAGAGAGCTGGGACTCTAACCTGTGCTTATCTGGTTCCAAGGTCTGCACTGTCATAGTTGGGTATACAAGCTGGGAAGGGCCGTCCTGTCAGTACTGTTTTCCATTAAATCCATTTTCCTCTTTTAAGTTCTATGGGAGGGGAATGAAGGGGGGAATAGAACAACTGTAACAGCATAATCAATAAAAAAATTTAAAAAAAAGTTCTATGGGTTAAAAATTCCTCCTGGATAGTTATCTCTTAATGACAGTCTTTAAATGATGTCAAGATACATTTGTTCAAAATCTCATTAATTTAGCAAATCCTCAGGTTATTTTGTTAACTTAAAACCATTGCTTCACTAGTCACTAGGGTCTACTATTCCATTGTTGCCCCTAAGGGTACTCATTAAGTACTAAGTGGATAATGAAATATTTTGAATGAGTTTTTCTTTGATAGTATATACTCTCCCTACATCATTTAAAGGATTTTATTTTCCCCCCAGGAATGGAATGTTTAGTTCACAGTTTATATTATTTCTGTTCACTTTTTACATTGATCTAGGTGAGTAACATAACTCCACATTTTTTGAGCACTAATAAAATGCTCAGCATTGTAACTAATCAGTAGGGGTGCCTGAATTCCTAGAGGTATACTAGCTGAGAACCTTGCATTTGTGGATTGGCTCTTTCCTCCAACTCCCACATGCTTAAAAAATTCATACACACTCAAAGAAACTATATTTATCCTCGCAACTCAGTTTTGTGCATTTTTCTCTAACTTCAGGTGAGCACTTCCATCAACCCCAGAAGAAAGCTTTGTCCTTTCATTCCCTTTGGGTCCCCAAGTTGCATCTAGACATGTTCTTAGCAATAACAAACTCTGTTTTTCTAATTCTAGTTCCACCTCTCTGTTGCCATGTCTCTGGCCTCTCTAAAAATATCTCCCTTTTCTTTTTATAAGCTCTGAATGGTGACTCTTCTGTTCAAAACAAGTCTTTGATCCTTGAGAGTGTGCCGTTCCTGGTGCTGGAGAGCTTGGGAAGGTCCCTTCCCACTGGGTGGGGACCATTGTGTTCTCCTGCTGTTGAGGACTGGCCTCCTCCAGGGGCCCACAGAGTGGTTGGGCTTCATGGGGTTCTCCTTCCTTTTGTTTGGTATGCTTTAAAAAATGTATGTAGTCATTTTGTTTTGTTTATTTTTTTGAATCTATAATCCACACTACTCTGCACTTTGATATTTTTCAATTACTTTAGCAAAACAAACTCCTTCAGACCTTGCTCACTCTTATTCCTTTCCGTAAACCTCAGACACAAGTCTTTTGAGAAGCTTAGGAAAAATCCAAACAACAAAATACATGCCGTTGTTAGAATCAGTCTGCACTTACAATGTGAGTCCACATCTACAGTGTCAGCGTTTTTGTGTTTGGCCAAGCTTGTTTGCCTCATCCCTGTGCCACTTTGAGTGCAATTATTCCCTATGAATTTGTAAGTAATATCCAAATATAGCTGAATATCAGAATGAACACAGCACAATAGTTATTTTAGTTATTACTTAATTTGTTGAACTGTTCCTCCCAATCCTTCCTCGTGATCTCATTGAACCAAAATGGTGGGGAATTCACAAAATTTACTGAAGAGCCACTGCGGTGACTCACCATACTGTGCATTATTGCTAATAAACAGGAGGCCAGGATGTAGTGGTCAGAGGGCTTTCAGGTGTAGACAAGAGTCCACCAGCAGTGGGCAAGGCTATCTTAGTGATCTGTTGGTGGAAAATTGACCAGATCTTAGTGATCTGTTGGTGGCATTTTCATGACATACATGTAACTTTAGGATGTGGCCACCTATATACTTTCTAGCTACTAGAAATGTAGACTTGAATTTGTAATAGAAAACAGATGGTGCTTGAAATCTCTAACTTACATTTGACAAAAGCTGTTTTGGAAATGTTGCTTATGTGTACATTTATTGCTTTAAACACAGCATCATTTTAGCCTGTTCTGATGAATAATTTAAGAATTACTGTCCTACTCAAAGACAGCATTTCAAAGTACATGTGTTAATCATATACTTGATTAAACATTTCCTTGCCTTTCTCTTCAGAATGCCAGTTGGCCTTTGAGTGGATAATCGCTGCAGCGAGAGCAGTGACGCTGGAAACAACTATTGCCTGTTTGAATTACTTGAGACACCACCATGAAAAGAAATACTTGCGATTTGCTTTCTCGGAGCAAAAGTGTAAGTACCCGTTGTTTTCATAACATTTTTTCTGTTTGGATTTTATTACTGTGCTATCATAATCAGGCTTGTGAGAATCCTTTGGTTAACTTTTAGTTCTCTGACTGTATACCATTTATTACCAAGGGAGGATTTGTTTGTCTCTGTGGCCTGGTTGACATTTGATGGGAGTTTTCTTTCAGCCACTTTATATGTCTTGACATTCATTTGGATAAGCCTACTGGCATGATATTGGACACCCTGATTTTGGGATGCATGCAGAAATTATATGATTAAAATATGAAAATGGAGACATTTGTGCCTTGTATATCAAATTTTCTGGATAAGTCCAAAAGGACAAATTGAATTTAACAACACTAGGTTCTTCAATCAATCACATTCTGAAAGTGTATGTATACAGTGAATAATGCAAATACTTGATCAGTGCAGCATAACTTCATGAGCTTTCTACCCTGGTGCATGTCTTAATCTCTCTCCTCCTTTAAAAAGTTTTTTAAGTGAACATCTTCAGAACCCTGAGGAAGATTAAGCCTTATTCCCAATTACTGAGTATTCTTAAGGTACCAAGTTAATGATACACTTTAGATTTCCCATAATTTATGAAAGAAAGCACAAACAAATAGAGCAATTCAACACTGCACAAGGCAGGGGTCAGAGTAGACTGTGGATTTTCATCAGACAAGTTCTGAGAACACGTGCTGTTGTTCATTTACCCAAGGGGAAAAGGCTTCCAAACAGATGTAGCTGTGACGTAGGGACATTCATTTGAGGGCATCAGGAAAAACCACAAACGCAAACACATTTCTCTAGTATGCAAATGCTTGTTTTATAACCAGTGATTCTATTGTGGTGGCCCAAGACCATCTTTCATCTTTTCTGTGGTAACCATCCAGCATTTGAGGGTGAGTAATTCAGGAGGATGGGGAGAGGGAGCTATGGCGTGCCCAGTAGGGTTTCTTAAAAAATGGGGAAATACCCAGAAATATGCCAGTTGTTTACTGAACACTGGCTGTGTTTAATAACCAGCCTAGGAAATTCAACAAACTCTGAGGGAATGTCCAAATTAATTTGTTTTACTGTTTGTATGTATTATTATATAAAATAAAGAGCCACAGCTTGGGTCCTGGAATTCCTTCTATTATTACACAGTTGCTCGTTGGAAAAGGAAGTGACCTGCGTACAAATGAACAAACTGCAAACACATGTTTCTATTACTGAGTCTTTCTTATTTAAGTTAAATATGATAGCAAATCATTTACTTAATTCTTTCTTCTTTTATTAAATTCCAGAGACATGTGATATAAAAATATATAAAGGCAAAAGGGAGAACTGTACTTGAACAAGAAAAAAATTTTAAAAAATCAAGAATAAAAGCTCTTTATATTGATAAAAAGTATGTCATTAAGGATTTCCCTGTTCTTGCAGGAAAACATTCTAAAACCAAATGATTAACTCAGCCATGACTTTGAGGAACTGCAAGTAGTTAATGATATTAAGAGCATTCCTTTTTAAACGTGCTTAATGCAAAAATTCTCATCTTGGTGGAAAGGCTCACACTTTCCAGTTCGGAGAACCCGAGTTGCCTGTGTTTGTCCAAATGTAAACAGTGGAGTTGTCATTCTGCTCCTTCTGAGCTTCTTGAAAATCCACTGTTGTAAAGAACATGCTCTCACACAATTAAATGACTCTAAGCAGGAGATTACGGTTTATCAGAGAAATGAGCCAGACTTTTTGCTCAGTTAGAGGTTGTTACGTTAGAGTCTCAAAAATTTATTTTGCACTGGTCCTAGACTCACCCTCCCACCCCTTAAATCTTTTGCCATTATAAAATCCGAAATTGTATACCTAGAAGCAGGTATTTCCTGTTTTTGATGATGAAAGTTTAAAGAATTTATTTGATTTAGAAGCTGAGAATGTTTTTCTTGGGCATTATGACATTTGAAACTCCAAAATAATATTCTCAATGTTAGAACAGCCCTTGCTCCTTTCTGCGTGTCTCTCTATAGCTTGTATCTGTTATTGCAAAAGACCATACAAATGAGGAAGGAAAAAAGACTGTCTTTAGATGGTCATCTTATTTATCCCTGAATGCTTAAATCAGTGTTCATATTTTTCTACTCACATTCAAGACCTGGTGCAGTATCTCTTTTAATGACTAATGCTCTGAACTCTTCCTTCATTTGGGAGGGATCCATGAAAAAATTAGCTATAAAAATATATAACCAAAACACTTTTTACTTAAAGTAACACTTTGCTACTTGGGGGGATAATTTGTAGCCATAGTGGGTGAAAGATGAGGAACTGAGTATATGGGCATTACAATAAAAGTAAGGCATGGTTCAGTAGCTATGTCCTTTCGGCTGCTGTGGGAGCCAGACATTTATCAAAGAATCACACAAATAAGTATGACCCAACGATTCTCGACTGCATCTCCTGTCACAGGGCAGGTGTCCTTCAACCTGTCCTCATGTATAATGGCCTCTTCCTCCATCCTAGAACAGAGACTTCCTGAGGACAGGGGGCTTGCTTGTTATGTCCTTACTGTGTCCTCAGCATAGTGTCTCTCACAAAGCCGATAAGTGTGTTAACGAAATGAGCAAATACATAAACGGCAACACCTGCTGAGAGCAACTTCATAGCATGACAGCACGTCATAGAAAGACTTGGCCTAGGGAAGTCAGACCAGGCTTCTCCGAGGAAAGATGACTGAGAGCTGGGATCTGAAGGGTAAGTTAGCTTAACAAGAAGACCAAATAGGAGAGGAGGGACTTCCAGGAAGACTCAACATATGTGCAATGACTCTGTAGTGCTAGGAACAGTGGTGGCCTCAATGTTATGAATAAAGGTCAGAAGAACTAACTCATTGGTGGCAATGATAGGAAGATAGAGAAAACCAAACACATTGAAGAGATGTTTAGAGGAAAAGAAAATGATAGGGCTTTCGGTAAGGCATTGGCTTTGAGATGTAGGGGAGAAAAAAGGTGAAAGTGCCTCCTGAGCTTCTGGTTTACCTGGTGGGGTGGATCCGGCCCCTCCACTGAGAGGGAGACACTGAGTAGCCACCAGGGGGGAATGGGGAGGGGGGGGACCTGAGTCTAAGGCTGTGGAGATGGGGATGTTTTAAGATGCAGGATTCTAGAAAAAAGTTTTAATTAACCCATACAACATTGAGATGGACAAATTTAAGTGTATTATTAAATTTATATCCCAAATAGACTGTTGATTAAATATACCAAATAGACACTGTTATTGAATTTTTAAAAAAATAATGCAAGTTTGATCCCAAGCTATCTTTACCAGATCTACAAATTGCTATTTAGCTAAATGAAATTCTTGTATATGAGGGAGGATCACCACAAAAATTAGAATTTATTTTAAAAAATTGTTTATTTTTCCATTTTTACAAAATATTTTGTTTATTTACTATTAGAGAGAGGGGAAGGGAGGGGGAGAAACATCAATGTGCAAAGGCATTGAGGCAAAAGACTAATTTATCAGCTTGGGCCGCCATAACAAAATACCAGACTGTAGCTTAAACAACAGAAATTTATTTTGTTAGAGTCCTGGAGGCTGAGAAATTCAAGACGAAGGTACTCTCTTGGTCGAGTTCCTTATGAATCCTCTTCTAACCCTAATCATCTCCCAAAGGCCCCATCTACAAATAGTATCACACTGGAGTGTGGGGTTTTGGGGGGATACAAACATTTCACTTACAATAGTTTGATTCTTATGAATGTTTAATAAGTCATTGATATTTATACCCACAGGATGATGACCAATAATCTGGAGTCCACATATTCTTTCAATGGGATAATACTGAAATTGATCTGGTTAATACCTTTCTCTTCATTTTCTATTTCCCAGACTTTATGTGAAGGGACTCAATGATGATTTGTGAGGTTCTACTCTTTTCACAGACCTAGGTGCTAATTTCAGTTTTACTCAAAAATATTTTCCCTTCCTTCACAACTCTTGCATTGTTCGTTTTTAATATTCATTCCAATGAATAGGTCTCTGAATTACCTGTCCTGTCGATGGATTTACCAGTTGAGCTAACTTTCAGCGGTTGCAAATTTCAGAGTTCTCTGAGTCACCTCCATTCCCCCCAGCAATGCCACTGCTTTTGTGCTAACCAGGAGTGGCAAGTAAAGGTACAGACAAGGGAAGAGACACATCAACATTTCTGTAATTATACTATATTTTTAAATCCTTATATTTCCATCGATATTCTCTGAACGCATGAATTTTTACAAACCTTCTCATCTGGAGAATAAACTAGATAAATTTAAATTCTTGGAGGGGGGTATAATGGAACTAAATGGTAATGAACAAATAAAATGTTTGAAAATCTTCTTTATTAATCAATTCTCTTAGGTATTGAATTCTAAAATATCTTTTAGTATTTTACACTAAACTCTCAGTTCCTTAGTAGCCTGTGTTATTTTCTCCCTACCATTTTGGAAAGATTCAGGATATTTTCTGCTCAATTGGATTTGTTAGTTCCTTGATGAAATTGCCCTCTGTTTGACTTAGGATTCTTTTGGATGTTCTACATTTGGATAAAATTGTCACTCACCAGATGTCTTTTAATTGAGGTTCCCTGTTTTGTGTGTGAGTATGTGTGTATGTGTGTGTGTTCAAATCTGGAAGCAAATCCTGCCTATTTGGTAGGCCTAGGATATCTGGAAAATTATTTGGATACTGAATTTAAAGCCCACATAACTAGGCTATTGGTTTTGAGTTCAGGAGACAGGAGCCTGCCTGGTAAAACATGCCCAGTAGGTGCCCTAGAGTTGCCTCTTTTCACAGAAGGCTTTAAACATTTCTAAACCAAATTTATCCTAGTGTTAAAAAAATAAAACCTTTCATGTTGCTGAATTTTGGAAGCAATTGTTCTTTCAGTGGCCTAGGGTAAGTAACTTAGGCCATTTCTTTCCATCAGTGCCAACCTGGACAGGGCAGACAAGACACAGTTTGGAAAGGATGATACATTTTGTATA